TTAGGCATAATCTGTTGTAATGTTCATTTGCTGCTCTAACCTTTTCTGTTAGTATTAGTGTACGTTGGTGATGAAGACTTAGGAATGACTGACTGATAATGATATCATAAGGTAACGTCTTGTTATATGCTCATTAGTGACATGCTTGGAGAGGAAGGACAGCGCATACCAGCTGAAGACCTTAGTAGATAGCCATGTTACATCGTGAACTGACAGAAGTAGGAAAATGTAGGTCATCGAATTTCGACCGATAGGCTGACCGGTTAACGCGTTCACCTTGAGACCTGATCTGCCGGAGTCCGATTCCTAGAGGGGCGGGTTCGTGGATGCCTACTACTGAGAAGTGTCATACTAGGGTGAAACAGCTGTCCGGTGCTCTACGGTTTTCAATGGTTCTCTAATTAACGTCAATACGTATTGAATACTACGAGTATAAACAATAAGTCGTGTTCAAAAGGCTATCTAGTAAATAGTACTATAGCACTGTGTGCTATACAAAACAAACTGGTCTTATGTGGAAGTCCATTCTAATACACTACTGGAATTCTATATTTACGTCAATAGCCGGAAATTAGATGATAGACTATGAAATCATTCTACAGCGTAAATTTGGATTTTGTCAATATTGGAAGGCTATATATTGTACAGTGTGATCTCACACATATAACCCCATATTTATCTGATATAACTTGCTCGATGGTGACCAGTGGTGGAATCCTGGATGTGTATTTCTCTCTGCTTGGTACTTTTCAGCTCTGTGCACTAATATATCAGTGATTGATGATGCCTCCGGTCAGACCGGAACTCAGCAACCATCGCTTAAAGCGCGATAACATTATCCACTAGCAACTAAGTTAAGGAACCACCCGTTACATCATTCCTTTTATGCAGTAGTCTATTTCACTGGAAATGGTGAATAACTCAGTGATGCTGTTCCCTATAGAGATGGTGTAGTGATGCATTTTACTCAATATTTCGTGACAATTTCATACTAATGTACATTGCTTTCGCACAAAGGTTCCCCCAGAACGGTTATACTCAGGTGAATGCCCATATGTGAAAGTTTCTGACAGTGACTGTTATTTTTAGCTAGATTCACATGATATTAGGGAAGTATATTACCGTATTGGAGGAAAAATACATGTGTAAGTATCTGGTATATCTATTTACCTTTACTAATGACAATGTGTTGCGTGCTACTGATAAGAATACTTTTAAGTAGTATGTGATGCAACGTAAGATTTCACATAAGAAGACTATGGATAGGCAAGAAAGCTATGTTAGGCGAACCAAGGTAGGTTGATAAGCTATATAGAAGGATGAATCGAAAGAAATGATAGTAGAAAATAGCTAGACTGTTGAAACCGTTCAATTAGTAACTTCTTTCCCTTGTATTAAAACTCGTTTATATGCTGTAACAAGTAGTCATCAAGTTACCTGTTTCAATTGTAGCAGTAAGTATAAAATGATAGTTCTGTCTGGATAATATCTACTCTAACTAAAAGTATAGATGTATGGTGTGAACTGTGTTCAGTTTATAGTTGCATAGTGTGTTTACACTGACAGTCTCCTGTGTTTTTTTTATTCCTAAATATTAAGGAAATATCTTCATTTGTTGTACTCTCCTCTTTTAGTAGGAGATGAAAATCTCTGAGTGGTACCATAAATCATTTCAGTTGAAGAATAAAAACTGAAGGGTGCTGTTATAACAGGAAATAAACTATGGATATGTTTGAACCACTGACATCGATTCCAATTGGACTTGACACAATGATGCCATATGTGGCCACCTCTGAAACGTTTCCCAACCTAAACCTACTTCAGTTAATATTGTACAATGGAGAAGATGGTAACCGTGTATAAGTAACACATATCACAGCTATTTGTGTGGATTACGGTTTTTAACCTCATCAACTGATTTATTTCACCCGCCTAAAACTAAACACCTGACATTCATGTTACTGATGTGGAAGTACCAGAATATATGTATACTTGAAACCTCCTCATATCTAACATCTTTAATGGCCATGTTTCACAAGACGACAAACTGCACCACAGCGTACTTGACATTTTATAGGCAATCAGATATTATGGCGGCGGCCTAACTGTGTACGAGTTAAAATGCACAAGTTAAACAGTATGATGGTTTATTCATCTGCGTCTGTGATTATTCAATGACTTCTAGTGTACAACTGTTCTACATTCAATGTGGAATTCTCTTTCTAGTATTGTGTATTGATCATTTTGCAATGAGGCCATCAGGCTACAACAATCACCACTGCGATGCATTGAGAGAGAGATGGTAGTTGAGTAGAGGCAATTTGGCAAGAAGTTAGGTTCAATTTTATTTTTGTCCTTGCTGGCATTCATCAGCAGGGCGTGTCTGCAAGCTTGACAGAAATGATACCCCATCTGAGAATAGAAATCGGCACGCTGTCTCGGGCTTCCTGCCAACTGTTTCCTGTCAGCTAACACTACACCTTCATTGGTTTCTTCTACTTTACACAACAGAACTGAAATCACACACTACACAAAGATTTTCCAATATACCATTTGTGTCTTAAAAGAATTCAGACCAAGATAGCTGATATTTTTCTTCTATTCAATATATTTTAAATAAATCACGTTATAGGCAGCGGATTAACAGTTCAAAAAAGATTTACAAAAGTTTCAAATAGCAGATATTGAGGTGGGAGAGCATAGAAACAAGACCGGAATGAGATGACAAGGAATTTCTAATTCAATCACTTGAGAATAAACACGCACACACACACACAGACCCATACACAGAGTTTTGTGTCTGTACGGAACGAAACAAGTTCTACTCAAAACCAAACTTTTTTTCCCACCAGATTTCAAAGCGTTAAAATAAAGATGTTTCAGATATACTTAAAGAGGTATCGGTTTTTGTCAGACCATCTGTCTGCTGAAACTTAAGCATTGGGTATACATACGCATCTGTACATATGCCTTTTTAACAATATAATACAAACTTATCGTTTGGCGTATTACGAATTTATTACTTATCCATTCATTATGACGAGAAATTTAAAGCTGAAAACGATACCTTAAGTTGAAAAGTTCTCAATATTTCTTAAATTCGTATCATATTACTTGTAAGCAACATCATATAAACCATACCCCTCGCACAAAAAGTAGTTATCATAACTCGGTGGTCTGTTGGATAAGGCTTTGGTGTTTGAAGCTATCGGTCCAGGGTTCCTGCCCTAGTGGGAGAGGGAGAGAGACAGGTACACCCAGCTGACGGGTCCCGAATTCCACTGTTAGCCATCATCATTAATTTCTTAAATTCACTTTTAACTACTTGCGAGTAGTCAGTTTCAGTTGAAATAACTTTTGAAGATATCAATTTTTAGGTTTGCTGTTTCATGTCTCTGAGGAATTGTTGTATAGGTGCACGAGTGAATCAAAGCACTACTTTAAATCTGTGTGCAATGTTTTCCTACTTCCTATGCGATTAAGAAACATGTTTAACACCGTCAAGGAATACCAGATGTTGTATATTCTACTTAGACGAGTCAATCAGTGACCATAACTTTGAAGATCATATGAAATATTTGGATTAAACGAAATTAGTGACAATCTATATTAGGTGTATGCGCTTGTGTATTCGAACATCTGTTGACGGTGATTTGTCTTTACGAAATTCAGGGTGATCCTTTAAACCATGGATTTGGAAGTAGCTAGAGCACCACTGAAACCTAAGAAGCTGTGGACATCTGAGTAATCATGGTTTTGGGACACTTCAACACTATATAATCAAACTGGTGATCACATTTGGGATGAAGTCAAAGACCATCGAGTGTAACGTAAAGTATTCCATCATTCACTTGCTTTTTTGGAATTCAGTAGAGAATATTTTCATATTTCTCCCAGTTCAAGGTACAACGTTATCACCACACAATGTTATGGATGGCTATCTGCCAACATATTCAATTTATTTGACTCCGCAAAACCAATCATTCGAGTAACTCATCAGCAAATCAACCCGAGATAAGTTTCTGAAGTTTTTACCAAACACTATAGTATACAGGGTCAAGGAAGTCAAGTAGAGGGACAGGTATGTACTTTCGATATACGGCGGATTGTCGAGAGTAGGAAAGACTAAGGTATTAAAACCCAGCTCAGTGACTAAGTGTTAACTTGGCTGATTAACAAATCTGATTGTCTTGAACCTAACCCTTATGAATTCGTAGATGTGGGTCTGATGATTAATTGACGCTTTGAGACTGCCTATAATACCCTGGTTGATATAAACTCCTGACAAAAAAGTCGTTTAGTTATATAAACAATAGAGGCAGTAGGAATGGAAATATTGTAACGACAAATGAATTGGTATAGTTTGTATCATTTGTCTGAACTGATGAGAAACATATAGCTATGTGATTCTGATAGTCTACACCCTCAGTATCTGATTACCAGTATACTTGCTGAGCTTCTTCACTCTTGTCAGTCACCAACTGAAGTGAAATGAACACAAGATGAGATATTTACAACCAATCAGCAATTAGTCTTCCCTCTGCGTCTAGTCATCGTCCAAAGGGAGACAAAGACCAATAGCTCTTATCTTGTACGTACCCTTTATGGGATACAGATAGACACACAACTGAATTAAATATCCATAACTCAGAATTCATTAAACCAGAGTCAATTTTTCATTTAGAAATTTCGATAATGCATAATGATTGACACCACTTAACGTACAGTTATTTCACAAACATGAGTCATGCGAAGATGTGTGACGGATCAATAAACATACTGTAAGCTGAGCTACAAAACAATATTAAAATATAGGTCTTGATTAAATTAATTTTTGAAATAAATAAAAGAATGCTATCAATAATACTTGTCTAGGCTTTCGATTCCTTTTACACCGATCCGTTATAACAGTGTTCTTTAAACGTATCTCATTTTAAGGCCACCTCAAGGTCAATCTAGTGGCGGTATTTTTAGTTTTTTTCATGTGCAAAAGTTAATGTATGACATTTCTTGAATTGAACTTGGTATTTTGTTAAACTGATCATTTTTTTAAAGACAATGTGAAATTATTTGTTGATTTCCCTTATTGTTGATATTATATTCTTTTTCTCTTAAAGCTTTATACTGATTGGGCAAATTATTATTTGGAAAAAGCGAATTATTCAAAATTAATCACCAGTATAAAAAATGATTTGTCCAATGGTCTTTTATTAGCTGATATTATACACGCAGTAGGTAAGTTGGAATGAATAAAGATTTAGGTAAATGATTCCTTTTCTTCATCTAAATACTTTTACATCTATTATATAACAGTTTTAAGAAAACAGAAAGGTAAATTATTTGCTTCTAATGTTCAGAAAGATATTTCGTAAAAGTTGAAATTTCTATAAACAGACCTTTCAATGACTGATAAGTTATTATGGACTAGATGATGAGGTTTACTAAGAACTTTTTTCTAAGTAAGAATCAATCCATCAGCATGGATATCCAGATGAAACTCCATGTCCACATGTTAAACAAGAATTCCTTCTCATATTCAGTTGTTCATTTCAATTTGGTTACACCATGTATGTCATGATACCGGCAGGTTTTTCGCCGGAGGATACCGTAAAGGTTAGTGACCGGAAAAGAATAAAACACTCGATTTCACACTTAACATAACATTCGAATAGAATGCTCACTTCTAAGGTGTTGAGTAAGGTCTAATGCATGAGTAGAAAGGTTATCCCAATGGCAATTGGGAAGAGATAAACTGGATGAGGCAGATTACAAACCAGAATGAGATAACAACTCACTTTTTCGTTGGTTATTAGGGGTTCGCCATGTGATGCCGCCCTATAAAAAGGAGATTCGTTACTAAGTTGTAACACGCTGATGAAATAGGTAGGGAGCAACACTTTCAGCAAAATAGCGTGGATACATTTCATTTCATGGTTCCTCATCAGTCGCTCATATGCTAAACCAAATTTTAACATCAATTTACACAAGTGTTTGCACACTGGAATCAGTTTGCTAGAAAATTATCGACTTGAAATAAAGATAACAATGATATAAAGACACACTAACTGAGCGAATTAACAGTAATTTCACCAATCTGTGGAACATTTGGATGAGTATTCTAGAATGGGAATTGGAAAAGGGGTGGGGACAAATTTATTCAGTGTATTGAGAAGGGTAACGTGAAATAAGTGTGAAAAACAGTCAGGGAATTTACGCTATTGCAGATGGGCTTTCAGTGGATGCACCGATACCGTTGGATATTCTTGATGCTGTATAGCAGCCGGAAATGCCAAGTATGAAACAACAAGAAGTGATACTTACTGCAAAAGTGGTGTCTTTCGTCCCCCGCTTGTTTAGTGGATAACGATTTGATGTTTGAAGCAATAGGCACTGCGTTTGACTCTCAGTAGGAACAACATCACTTACTGAGGTGCAGGTGCACGCAGCTGGCGAGTCCCAGGCAGGACGAAACACGCTTCCTGGACTCCACTGCGAGTCACTGAGATAAATTTAGTAAAACCAGAGACTGGTAACTGTTTGTTTCTGAACACATAAGTCTGGTCTTAATCGTTTAAACGCTACTGTTTCAGTGAAATGTAGCAGATTCGAATTCACCTGTTCACTAATTATTCAACACAATATCTAGATGTTAGCTCCATGTCCCCCATGAATAAGGTGAGGAGCAAACGTTTTGTTGAAGACTTTTCCACATGTCAGTCGTAAATTCCTTGAAATATACTCAGGTGTGCTGTCTTAAACTCGTCTTCCAGTACGCCCAATGTATGTGCTTCGGTAGACACATGTGGAATAGTATATGCATGAACGGGGAACATGTTAACCTTCGATTGTCTCAGTGATAAATTGATTTGGTAAAGTGCAATTAACCTATCAGCTGGATGGGTCCTTTTCAAGGTAGGATTTATTCTACACCCAGAAACATTATCTTGATTTCAAAGTTAATGATATTTTAAGCATATTCCAAGGAATTTGTGACTGAGAGCTAAATCCTCTAACTACCTTTTTCACATGTTTCATGTTATCCCTTCTCAATACACTGAATAAATTGGCTCCCACCCCTTTTCCAATTCCCATTCTAGAATACTCATCCGTGTTCCACGGATTGGCGAAGTTACTGTCAATTCGCTCAGTTTGTGAGTCTGTATATCATTGTTCTCCTGTCCACCCCAAGCAAAATATTAAGCCGCATAATCCTAGATAGACTAAAACATGCGCTAGATTCAGGAAATACAAGTCATATGCGGACCGAATTGCAACTCTACGCTTCACATCATCAAAGAACAGAGCAAGAATCGCAGTCAACTCTCTACATCAACTTCATCGACTTTGAAAAGGCTTCGACAGTGTCGACCGAGAAGTAATTTGGCAGGCAGTCACTTCAACACTACGGAATACCACAAACCTATATCAACATCATCCAACAACTATATGACTACGCCACATGTCAAGTATTTCACAATGGAAAGCTCAGTGATGCCATTGAAGTGAAGACAGGAGTAGGATAATTTTGCCACCTACTGCCATCGACGATCTTCCTGATTGTGATGGACTGGATCATGCGACAACTGCGAGAAGCGAGAAGAGGGGATTAGCTGGACTGGGGAAAATATCCTAAAAGATTTGGATTTCGCCGATGAATTGTGTCTGATGTCTTGTGGCACAAACTAGAAGATATACAGGCGAAAACCAACAAGTTGACATAAGAGGCCAGGCAGCGAAGAAGGAAATTCAAGAGAATGTAGAGAAGACAAAGGTGATGGAGATACCCAACCAACACCACCACCACCACCACCACCAGAACAAGCTCCGACCACCATCAACGGAAGAAACCTAAAGGAAATAGCCTCTCTCACCTATCTAGGCAGCATCGTGTCAACTACAGGCGACGGCACAGATGAGGACGTCACAGCAGCCAGGATCGGAAAGACAGCAAGACAGGCTTTCATTAACCTGAAACCAGTGTGGAGATCTTCCACACTCAGCATAAAGCATGAACAACATTCGGATTTCCAACACTAATGTCAGTCAAGTAACTCGGTGCTTCTATGTCATGGTTCAGAAACTTGGCACGTTACGAAATGCATTTCCAACAAACTACAGATATTAATCAACAACTGCCTACACTGGCTGGCTACTGAAGCTCAGATGGCCACAATAATTGGAACAAGCAACAAGGAGCTCACTCTGGGAACGAACCAACAAAGCAAGAAGCTATCGCTCAACAAATATGCAGAGGAAGGAAGTGGAGATGGATTGTGCGTACACTGAGAAGACCATGTGGGGACATCACATGTCAAGCCAGGTTGTCGAGTGGAGCCGGAACGGGAAACGAGGAGTTGGGCATCCGAGGTGTTGGTGACATGGAGGAGATTGCAGAGAACAGAGTGAAATGGAGACGTGCTACTGAAGCCCTATGTTCCCCTTGGAACCCAAGGGATAAATGATAATAATAATATCATTGTTATCTTTATTTCAAGTCGATAATTTTCTAGCAAACTGATTCCAGTGTGCAAACACTTGTGTAAATTGATGTTAAAATTTGGTTTGGAATATGAGCGACTGATGAGGAACCATGAAATGAAATGTATCCACGCTATTTTGCTGAAAGTGTTGCTCCCCATCTATTTTAATTTGTAAAGGGGAAAAACTGCATAGAATATTTCTCCTCTTTTTGTAGCAATAAACATCTTAAATGACTAGTTATAATCTTATGTCTTAGGAAAACCTGAATGTATATTTTCGGTTATGAATCCAGTTTATGAGACTTAACTATAGTTTATAAGAATGTGTGTTTCGCAGTTGTGTTTCATGTGTCAATTATTTCCAGTTGAGCCCCGAATAGCTTACAGGTGATATCTCTGACTGTATTTTCAGATTTCTTAAGGTGGGCATCAATTACCCCGAAGTTGTAGATTCCCTTTGTTGACAAGCTCCAATGAATGTTGAATATTTCAAAGCCACGCAAAAAATGAACATTTTCTACAGCTCAGATTGAAATGGCAAGCGCTGAAGAGATTGAAATGTGAACGACTAAAAAATCTGCATAAAGTATTGTCTAGTGATTGACTTAAGCTTTGAGGTCAAAGTTTAGTACACTCAGGTATCATATCAGTTCAGTTAATGGGCCTGTTGCAAACCTGATTGATAAAATTCGATTAGTGATGACCACTATGAACTAGAAAGCTACCTACATTAGTTTCCCTTCCACCCCTCCCCCCCCCGTTACCGATGATCGATTGGTGTAGGTAGATTAAAGTTGAATTTCTTCAGTTTACATAAATCAGCCAATAGTCGAGTAAGGGACTTGCTGGAAACGCCACTGGTAATAGTAATAGCGTTCATTAAGAGAATTATGGTAAGAATAAAGAATAAATACAACAAAATCGTAGTAATCACTGAAACTTAATCCATATAAGCAGGATACTATTTCATTACACTACTTTACTAATGGTTAAATAGTAGGATTTTACAAAATTTTTTATCATGGATCGATATTATTACCTGGTTACCATGAGACCTGATTAAGAGTCGTGGTTACACTCTTCTGAAGAATCATAAACTAGCAGAAAGTAGTTCTTGAGTGGTTTCAGGTTTTCAGGGAATTCTCTGGTTCAATGAAAATCCTCCTCTTTTCATCAACCTTCCAGTTGAAGAGTACATTTCAGTTAAAGACTACTTCCTTCTTTACTTAGAGGTTTAATTATGAATTGTTCAGGCTTCTATCATTGTAAACATCTTCTTGTTCTACTGTCTGATGATAACTTCAAAGGATTTTATGGTAACATACTTATTTTTCATTGAATGTTTCATTATGGAAGTTTTTGGAATTTTCTTCCTCATTCATTTTCGTAAACACTTTCGTGAATAAAATATAAACTTAGTGAAGAATCGAAGACTGTGGGCCTATCTTGGTTATTTATTACATCACCTGAATGACATGATATCAGGGGAATAATATTTTCCCTTTATAGTTTTATTCATATTAATCCAGACCTTTTCAAATGCGAAACAGAATTTTTGTTACTGAGGAAACCATTAGTTATATCCATCTGGATCTATGATACCTTTGTCACTGTCAGTCACTATTAACAACTGACAACACGACGCTCCATCTCTCTAATTCAGCTGCATTTAGAATGGGATGAGAATTCTTTGCTTGTCAGATAGAGGAGAATTGGAAGATGACGGGGACAATGTGCTTTCTAAAGCCTTTACTC